CCGTTCATTGCTCAGGTAGGTGTCCCCCCAAGTACAGAGGGGGTGGGTGTGCCAAAAGCCAGCGCGTGGCAGGCAGTTGCGATATGCTGAGCCTTCTGTGGGGCCCTCCGTGTGTATTATTGTATTTCATCCTAACAACCCGTCTTATGAGGAAAGAAATACGGCTTGCAGGTGGGAAAACTCAAGCTCAGAAGGGTCAAGGGACTTGCCCAAGGTCACACAGCTGGGAAGTAGGGAAGCTGGGGATCAAACCCAGGTCTTTCCCACGCAGAAGACCCCTGGGGTGTCATATGATTTGGCTAAAAATAATTTGGATGGGAACAAGTTGGCCAGCATGATTTGTGGGAAATGAATGTCCCCGCCCCTGGCTTCTGAGTTGGATTGTTAGATGTAATTGTAGAATTTTGCAACCCGATGTGTATCTTGAAGCATTTCAACCCATTTTTAGGGATTTTTTAAAAATATTTTTTATTGATTTCAGAGAGGAAGGAGAGAGGGAAAAAGAGAGATAGAAACATCAATGATGAGAGAGAATCATTGATCAGCTGCCTCCTGCACACCCCACACTGGGGATCGAGCCAGGATCCTTCAGTCCACAGGCTGACTCTCTATCCACTGAGCCAAACCGGCTAGGGATCTTATTTTGAAATATCTTTACTTTTTACATACCTAATTTATTTTCTCCCTCTTTTTGTCACTTTTTAAAATTGAGACAAAAGTTTGCTATCACGCAAAAATGAACCATTTTAAACCAACAATTCAGTGCCATTGAGCACATTCCTAATGTTGTGCAACCATCACCCCTAGTTAGTTCCAAAACATTTTTATCACCCCAAAAACTCTGTACCCATGATGCAGTCCCTCCCCACCCCCGTCTCCCTGCAGCCCCTGGCAACCACCACACTGCGTTCTGTCTGTGTGGACTTATCTATGCTGGGTATTTCATGCACCTGGAATTCCAACACGGGCTTGAGCCAAGCAGTTCAGTTCTGCGCTGCTGTGTTTGGCCATTGTATGTCGCTGCTAACTAATACTGGTTGAGAGCCTGCCATGCGCCTGCCCGGTGCCAAGTGCTGCTACGGTATCTTCTCATTAGGAGGCGGACACTGCCCTTGTGCCCATTTGCCAAATGGAGGAAATGAGGTGCAGCTCTGCTGTGATTTTCCCGGTGCCATTGAGCTAGGGAGTCAGCAGAGGTGCTGCTGCAGGAGAGAGGGTTCATAGAAGGAATACAGACGCTTGGGCCTGCTGGGGTCTGGGTTCAAATCCCAAGCCCATCCTTCGTATCTCTATGAACCTGGGTATGATACTTAACCTTCTCTGAGCCTCAGTTTTTCCCTCTGTAAAATGGGGACAAGGAACCTTACCTCATGGAGCTGTCGTGAGAACTAAATGGGCCAATCAACACAGTGCTTACAAGAGGGCCTGGCATTATCAGTATCGTTTGAACGGTTGGTGGTCATTCAGAAAGGATGCTCTCACGGACACACATCTTCCCCCCCTCCCCCTCAGGTGATGTTGGAATCCTCCGTGTACCTGTCTCTGGCGGTTTACAGTGGCTGCTGCCTCCTGGCTGCACTGGCCTCCTGCTTTTTGCCCATCGAGACCAAAGGCCGCGGGCTGCAGGAATCCAGCCACCGGGAGTGGGGCCAGGAGATGGTGGGCCGAGGGACGCACGGCACAGGCGTCACCAGGTCGAACTCGGGCTCTCAGGAGTAGTGACCTCTGGGGGGGCTGAGCTGGTCTTTGAGGCCATGGAGCGCGGGGAGCTGGTGGAGCCCGTCTGGGGCACCGACCGTCACTGCCGACACCAAGAACTCACCCAAGAGCACAACCTGGACCCCGGTGGCTCCTGTTCACTGAGACCCACCCACGGATGGGGAGGCATTTGCTCCGGGGGGAGGTTCTGGATGTGTGGGGGGAGGCTTGTTAATCACCTGTGGATCTGCATGGGAAAACTGCCACACCGGTGACCCTGGTAGCCAGCCAGACACCATCCAGAGTTAGCCGGCCACACCCGTGGTGAGCAACAACCCAAAGGTCTCCATGGACACAGTCCAGGCCCAGGCCCCGGGAGCCCTGCCGCCCACCAACCAGACCTGGTCAGTAGGTTTCTCCTACACCCCAGGCCCCCGGCTTTCTTCTTTGAAATCGCAGGTGACTCAGGTGTGGCCTGTGCAGCTTTTTCTTGGGTTGGAGAAACGCTCCCTCGGAAAGGGGCCTCTCGGTTTGCCTCCCCAGGCAGGGCCTGACCCGTGGAGACTGGCAGATAGACGTGCATTTGACCTTGAGCCACGTGCTCCACCTGGCCCCCTCGGGAGTTGCTGTCCCTGCTTCCAGGGGATCCCAATGTGTCCATGGAGACAGCTGGGCTTGCACCAGATGACAACCCCAGAAAGCTGTTACCCCAGACACTGGGGACTGGGCCCATAGGGAGGCGAGAACCAAGCCCAAAGCTAAAACAGGGCCTTCCCGTTCAGAAGCAGCGGAGGCCCCTTTGGGGCTTCTTTTCCGGCCCCTTCCTCGGTCAGGCGGATTGGGGACTCTTGGGGGAAGAGGAGTTCACTCAGGTCTCAGCGCTTTGGATTTGGAGCTTGGGTGGATGGAGAAAAACAAATGATGCTACACCAACTGCCTCCTCCCCTTGGGGCCCAGGGGCCAGGAGTCCTTCCCCCTGGTTTCTCTGCCGCCCTTGCTCTCAAGGGTTGGCTTGGTCTCTACACAGAGGCAGCTCTTGGGATTCCAGCAATGGACCCACGGCAGGGGTGCCATGAGCTGGGGAGGACCCAGGGGGACCTGGATGTGTGAAACGTGTACATTTTCAAAGGAAGAGGAGGAAGGTCGTTTGGATTCGGGGTTGGCCCTGGAAGGGAGGGCTGACACCCACCTCCTGGATTTGGGTTACAGGAGCCTCCTGCCCACCAGGAAGGCAGGGAACCTAGGAGAGGAGGGAGGAAGCTGCTGGGTCCCAACAAAGGCCAGAGAAGCTTGACCCTCTGCTTGGAGATATCTGCTCGAAGTCAACCTTGCGAGGAAGCCAAATGTGAACGTTCATCTCTTATTAAAACACGTTGGCCCTAGCCGGTTTGGTTCAGTGGATAGAGTGTCAGCCTGTGGACTGAAGGGTCCTGGGTTCGATTCCGGTCAAGGACACGTACCTCGGTGGCAGGCTTGATCCCCGGCCCTGGGTTGGGGGGCGCATGCAGGAGGCAACCAGTCGATGTCTCTCTCTCTCTCTCTCTCTCTCTCTCTCTCTCTCTCTCTCCCCCCCCCCTTCCCCCGCTCTGTCTGTAGATCAATGGAAAAATATCCTCAGCTGAGGATAAAAAACAAAACAAAAACATGTTGGTGATGGACATCGCAAGGGACGAAGTTTGTCTGTTTGTCATAATGCCCTAGTGACCCTTCACCCTAATGGCCTTGCCCACCCTGTCCAGCCAAGGTCATCTCAACGCTTCCCTGTGCTCTGATAGGATCGTCTTTCCCATAAGGGGGAAACGTCGTACAGTTGGCTGCCAACATCGTGACTTTGGGTCTGTGGGAGGCAACACTTCCTCCGAACGCTGTGGAGGCCACAGTGGGCATCTTCTTCGGGCTCACGTCCTAGGTCAACGACAAACAATCCAGTGTCCCTGGAATCGGGGCTGCTGCCCCCTCGGCCCAGGCAATCCGTCGGGGAGGAGGCGGCTTGGCAGATCTTCCGCTCCCTGGCACTGGGGGTGGGGTGGGGTGTGTGTGTGTGTGCCCTTGAACCCCGAGTGGCTATAGCTCTAATTACTTCTGGTCTGCAGAGCTCTCCTGGGTAACGCAGAACCTTCGCTTGTCCTTTTTGCCTTCCAGCTGGCCAGACACTGCCGGATGAGCATGTCCACTCCCTGTACCCTCACATAACCCGGAGGGGTGGGGGACTGGTGGGGGGGGGGAAGTACTTGGTGGGCAGAAACCTTCTCCAGGGGCTGGAGTAGAGAGGCCTGCGACTGAGAGCTTTCTCTTCTCGAGAAAATGCAAGTGAAAAAATTCTTTGCCTTCTAGATCGCTTGCCCTTTCCAAAAAAAAAAAAAAAAAAAAATCAATATTACTGAAGGACACACGAGCTGCCACAAAAGTTGCCCAAGCCTCTTGCTGAAGACGTTTGCATCTAATTTTGAACTATCCGAAAGCTCCTGTTTCCGTGAATGGAAATGTCATCCATTCGTCTGCGTTAGGAAAGATTTCAGAAAATGGCAAAGGACGTTCAGTGTAGCTGGGGTTGCGTAATTTCTTCCCCTTCCTTCAAATATTCTCAGGAACACATCAACAACCCTGGCGGTGTGGGCAACGGCATGGAAGACTCTCGTAGGGATGGACTTCGACGTGAATACGGACGGTCTTTATTTTTAAGTAAATATGAAGCACCAGAGAGCCTTGAAGGATGAGATGGAGAGTCTCCCTCAGTTACTACGAACAGGCATCAAAGGACTGGCGACCTTGAGCTGCAAGCAGCAGTCAAACCAGTCAGTGGTAGCTTCAACCATTGAAATAGTCATTGTTCATTCAGTAGCAAGCCCAGAGTCAGGCAGTTCTAGGAAAGGCCCAGCAGCTCAACCGTGTCATCAAAGACCCAACTTCTTTTTGCCGTTCTTCCCTGCTCTCGTCTGCATGTTGGCCGTCTGAAACCTCATGGTCACAGGGGGACTCCCACAGGGCCGGGCATCGTATTTATTAGCATTTTTACAGGAGGAGTAGAACGGGGAAGGAGCAGTCCCTGAAGGTTTTCCTTCAAATGGGTCTGTTCCTTTATCAGACCTTCAGTAGGTTTACCGTTGCTTTGCATTGATCAGACCTGGGCCCATGCCCATCCCAGCATGAATTCTTCCCTAGGGCTGGTTGGGGCGGGGGGGCGGGTGGCAGGGGGAGACCTACTTCCCACAGGAGCCTTTTGAAACAGAATTGGGATTCTGTTAGCATGGAAGAAGGAAGATGGAGGGGGAGGGGGAGGGGTGGGCAGTTCCCATCAAGGCTGTTTTAATGGCAAGGACTGGCGATTGGACTCAGGTTAATTCATATGAAGAAGTACAGGAAGAGGGAAGGACTGCACAGCGCAAGGAGACAGGCCCCCAGAAAAGGGGCGGCCACTACTCAGTTGTAGCTGATTTTTTTTTTTTTTTGCATGATGGGATCTCCCAATTTTCAAGACAGGAATCTGGATTTTTATGTCAAATCTCCAAATTTTAGTAGGTCGGGTCAAACATTTTTCAATGATGTGTGAGCCCGATGAAATTCACTGCAGGCCCGGTTTGGCGAAGGGGCCGCCGTTTGCAGCCTCTGGTAGTGAGTGCCTCCTCGTGGCTGCTGCCTGTGCCGACCCTGCATATGGCTTCCACTCACCGCGGCTCGGCTCAGCTCTGCAAACATACCAGACTCGGCTGTTCAGTGTCCCACTTCCAAATCCTCAGGGGAGGAAGCCGATTGGCCCAGCTTAGTGTTTGCTACAGTCCTGGCCCAATTAAGATGGGTTGGGAAGACTGGGTCAAGAGGTGGCTCAAACATGGTGGGTTTGGCCTGCTCTGTCCGCACGCTGGCACAATGACCGGTATTTCTGGAACCCAGGCAGACACATATGTAACCTCTCCAGTCTGCTCATTGCCACTGCTGTGGATCGTGTGATGGCATGTGGTCGGCATGCATGGCGTCTCCACCATGCATCAAGCATGATGTTCAACACTGAGGAGGCAAAAAAAGAGTAAGACCTGGTCCTTACCTTCAAGCATTCAGGGTGCAGTGGGGGGTACAGGCCTAAACAGGTCACTGTGATGCAGTGTGATATGGGCGCGAATGGAGGGATGCGGGGTGTTGTGGGAGGCACACAAGATGGCAACCATGAAACTCTAGAAGGTTCCGAGGCCCCTTCTGCTCCTCGGAAACTCAGTGGTTTCAGCCAGATGTGAGCCAGGGGTGGTGCTTTACTGTATTCTGATTCTTTGACATTTGAACATACCTCACCTATAATCCTTCCTGGTTAGTCAAGAATATTTGATGAGGAACTACTTCAAATGCCCCTACTCCCACCATGCCAGAGAACAAAGCTCTTTCTAGAGTCATCAGTAAGAGAACAATTCCACTCACAATAGCATCAAAAAGAACAAAACTCTTGGGAATACACTTAACAAAAGAAGTACAAGATTTTTACAAAGTACCAAGCATCACTAGAAGAAGTGGAAGGTCTAAATAAATGGAGAGGCATGGCCAGGCTCATGGCTCAGCAGACTTAAAATTGTTAAGATGTCAATCAATACTCCCCCAAATTGATCTATAAATTCAACACAATCCCTATCAAAATCCCAGCTGGCGTTTCATGCAGAAGTTGGCATGTTGGTTGTAAAATTTATATGGAAACGCAAAAGACCCAGAAATGCAAAAAACAAAAAAACCATCTGGTGAAACAATTCAGGAAGAAACAGTAATGGCATGGACATAGCATGGTGTGGGCCAGTCGAGACCTCTTCTCAGCACACAGGGTGCCACTGATCCCAGATGCATGAAGACTTCTAGGCTCCAGTCTTTTTAAAAAAACAAACAACAAAACCAGACAGATGAAAATTCAACTTAAGAGACTGAGGCAGATAATTAGGGATGAAGATGCCAAGGTGGCTTCTGGGCTCATGTAAGGTTTTCAGAAACATCTGGAAGCCTGTTTGCCATCTCAGGGGGTACCAGCCAGAAGGTAGAGAGATGCTGAGAAACAAGGAGTGAGCTTGGTGAGTTCATTCTCTGTGAAGGGGTTCCTTGGGGGATGATCCTTCCCGTGGCCCCTTCTCCAGGATTACATGGTGTCCCTGGGGCCATTCAGTGGGCCGCTGATGCCATTTGGGACCCTGGATGTGAAACAGGCTTCATATGTTGGTAGTTTCATGCCTCATCTCTTCTGCCTCCTCTGTATTCCAGTTCGACATATAACTTCCTGTGAAATCTGTGCCAGCACTCCCTCCGGTTCATTCTGTGGCATTAGGGCTGGGCAAAAGGTTTCCATAGCCAGCTAGGTTTAGGAAGACAACATCAGGCAGGTGTCTTCGCTGCAGGACTTTTCAGAACCTTTAATATGTTCATGCAACTTGTCATCGAGTTACTTAACCTCAACTACCTCATTTCCTTGCTCGCCTCTTTGATTTTCTGAGATTTCCTTCCTTCTGAGGACTCGTGGAGTAAGCTTAGTAATGTCAGGCCCAGAGAGAGAGGTCAAAGTGTGCCCAGATGGGGCTGGACTCACCTCCAGGAATTGACCTTGTGATTCCCTCTCACCTCAGGCTTCTTGTCCACAGGAGCCAGGGGTGGGGGGCGGGGGTAAGTGATGACTTACGCAGCGGTTCTCAACCTTCTGGCCCTTTAAATACAGTTCCTCAGGTTGTGACGCGACCATAAAATTATTTTCGTTGCTACTTCATCACTGTCATGTTGCTCCTTTGATGAATCGTCATGTAAATATCTGATATGCAGGATGGTCTTAGGCGACCCCTGTGAAAGGGTCGTTTGACCTCCAAAGGGGTCGCGACCCACAGGTTGAGAACCGCTGACTTAGAGAGAAGCACATTGATTAGTTAGTTGGCCGAGGAAAGCGGGAAGTCCTTAGGTGGGGGGGGGGGGGGGACGGTGGTCATTGGCATCATCAGAGGTGAGATGGTGGCATCCTGAGCAACTTCCTTTCTTCCAAGACCTCGCCGAAGAGCTTGGCCGCCTCCAGGGCACAGCCCCAGTGGATGGTGAGCCCGTAGCCTCCATGGCCATAGTTGTGGATGACCTGGGAGAGGAAGAGAGGAGGTGGCCTGGTCTGCCCTGAGAGATTCAGGAACTTTCTGAAGAGTCCTGGACAAAGCCAGAGGACACGGAAACTCTTCTCGGCACCCTGGCGGGAGGGTGGGGTCTCTGGGAGCAGCAGTAAGGGGATTGTTTGGGGAACTGGAGGTTGATACCCTAGACTCCTCTTCTACTTAGGAGATGAACCTGCTTTATACACTCAGCACAGGAAATGCAGAGTCATCTAAAACTTGAAGTCAGAGGTTTTCACACACACACACACACACACACACACACACACACACACACACACACAAAATGGTTTGACGTTCTCTAAATCACCTTCCTCGTTCCCACCCTGCTCCGGATTGCTGAGCTTCCTGTGTGAATAGACGACTCTTCTACCCATGTCAGGAGGAAAGAAAACCAGGGGCCCCCTAAAAGTGGGGTCTGGGTAACGTGCTTATTCATCCTGGAGACAGAGGCAAGACCTTGGGGCCCTTTTCAAAGCTAAAACCATTAGCCGGGACTTAAAAGCTCCATCCGTGACTCTCCTGATTGTACACACATTCCCGGGATAAGAAAGGATGGTGACCTCAATGGGGAAGATTGCTTTCCTGATGGGAACGCAACCCCCACCCACTCAGGCCAGGGCCTTCAGCCCAGGACAGTACCTCCCGTCATTTCAATAAACCCAGTTCCTACCCTAGGAGAGAGGACATGAGAGGGGACCCCAGAGAGACAATGGAGCAGCCGCAAATGGTCACGTGGGAAATGTGGCTGGAGTCACATTCAGATCACATCCCAAGTCTGTCCCTCACCAGTGGTCTGATGTAGGGAGCGACTCCACCTCTTGGAGCCCCTGTTTGCTCATCTGAAGCTCAGGGAGGACAATCCCCACCCCAAAGAGCTGGAGGGGAGATTCCCTAAGGTCGTTCGTGTCATGGGCACAAAGCAGATGTTCAATAAGGTGCCCATTTCCTTCTGCTTGACCACAGGTCCCAGCAAACCAAGGCACTGCCCTCTATGTAACCTTGAGTGGGTCCTTCACCATCATGGAGCCTCATTTGTAGAGGAGGGGACATGAGCCAGCCATGCCAAGGGCCCTCTTAGGAGTGAGGAGGGCATTGCTTTCCATGCCAGGAAAGTGTACCTCTGTGTTTGAAGACCCGAAGCAAAGCTGTTCTCTTTCTAGCCGAATCTGGGGGCGTACTGGCCGGAAGCCAGTCAATTCAGCAACAATTTTGGCATCCTGGAAAGAAAAGTGTTAGTAATTCATCTCCGGGTTATTTTTTTCTGCTGCCATTTTTAGGGAATAGTTCACTTTTGGAACCTCTGTATCATTACCACCACCTTGAACACCATCACTGTCTGTTTTATTCATCCCCACTGCCATCATCACCACCTTTGTCAGCCACCAACATCATTACTATCACTCATTACCACCACTTCTATCAGCTTCTCCATCTTTATCAACCACCAGTCACCACCATGATATTGTCAACAGTCACCACCTCATCACCATCCTTATTACCATCCTCAGCATTTTCATCACCATCAATACCAACCACTACCTCCACCTGCTCGTCACACCCTCATCACCATCAGTGTTGTCATTGCCACTAACAGGCACATGAGAAAACTGAAATTTCTGCAACAAATATGTTTTGAGGATGTCACCTTAACAGAGAGTAAGTCTCAGTCATGGTCATATATGTTTCATCAGCCCATAGCAGGACTTCCCTGGACATTATCAAATTCAGGTGTATTCCACAGACCCTTGTTGAATTAATTCGCCCAGTTATCCCGTGGTGGAATCTTCCCCTCCTCACATGTCCTCACGATCAAGCTGCCCGGAGCCTGGTCTAGGGACCGGATACCTCTCCCTCTTACCTTCAGTGTGGGCTCCAGTCTGCAGCAGCCTTCCCAGATGGTGTTGTGGTCTTCACTATTGTTCACCTCGCTCCAGTTCCCCAGCTGGAAGATGCCTCCAAGAGTCACTGCCTGGATCCTACATAAAAGTAAGGAGGGTCAAGGATGAAGGGAAACGAAGCGTTTGAGATGAGTGGGGGTCATCACCATGCTAACCCTCACCACCATCTCTACCTAACTCACTGCTACCTTCAACATCCCTGCTCCCAATACCACCAACACCACGGCCATTGCCATTGTCATCACCATCAACCACCACTTCCACCATCACCGTTATTGTCATCTCTTCATGTGTACAGCATGGCAACTATAGTTAACAATACTTTATGAATACTTGAAAATTGCTAAGAGAATAGATTTTTTTAAAAAATATTTTCTATTGATTTCAGAGAGGAAGGGAGAGGTAGAGAGAGATAGAAACATCAATGATGACTGCTGCCTCCTGCATGCAACCTGGGTATGTGCCCTGACTGGGAACTGAATCCGGGACCTCTTGGTCCATGGGACGACGCTCAATCCACTGAGCCACCACGGCCAGACAAGAGAGTAGATTTTAAGTGTTCTCATCACACACAATGTCATTATGTGAGGTAATGAATGTGTTAACTAATCTTATTGTGGTAATCATTTCATAATATATACATCTATCAAATCATATTATGCATCTCAAATGAGCACAGTGTTGTGTGTCAATTATATCTCAATAAACCTGGAAAAAATATAGTCATATCCATCAACAGCACCATCTGCACTACTTCCTTTCTTGTTACCATCATCCCCGGTCACCATTTCCACCACCGTCATTAGCCATGGATATTGTCATTTCCTGCTCACCATCGACATCGCCATTGAGACAGCACAGCCACAGAGTTAACATGGCCTCTGAGACTGTCACCTCTGCCACTCTGTTACCGTTATCATTGCTACTGTCATCTCCATGAGCACTGTCTACCTCCCCCCCGCCCAGTCACCACCAGCATTGACACTGATCTCCTCATCAATAGCAATACTATCTTTACTGCCACCATTTCACTTTCAACATGGTGGTCATCGCATCAATACCACCACTGTATTCATTAACACCGTCACCTCTGTCATTAATATCACCATCAGCTCCAATCACCACTCCCACCACCCTTCCTGCTGTTGCCCTTCACACCACATCTAGTGTCACTGCCATCACGTCTTTGTCTCCAGCATCACCTTTGTCTCTGGCATCACTCTCATCCGAAAGCATGTTCAAGCCTGGCTGGCAGGGCGTGGCTCAATGGTTGGTGTTTCTATTTCTGTTGCCCTCTCCCAAGCATTTAATGACTCAACCACACTTTAAAAAAAACACGTTTGAAGAAAAAAGCTGAAGGGACTAAGCAAGGGGCCTGGGGAAGGCAGCAGAAGCTTAAGGAGGGCATAAAGATGGCCCCTCTTCTGCCTAGGATGCCAGATTTTTTACCCTGGGATGATGTACGGGGACTTGTAGATGCCTCTGTCTAGGTCATGGGTGATGATGAAGTGCTTCATCCGAGGGGCATCCACCTGTTGATAGAGGACAGAGAAGTCTCCCCAGGGGAGATGCATCAGCGGGCCCCCTGCCCTGCTCCCCTCCAAGACCACATGCTCTGTTAAGAGTGGACAATTCCCAGGAGCCCCTGCCGCCGTCTGCACCTGGCTGCCTGCACTTGCAGGAAGAGCACCCTGATTGAGAGCCAACCTGCCCCCTGAAGCATCGCACGTTTTCACCCACGTACCCACAGAAAAGCCCAGCACGTGTGTGCAAACACACACACATGCACACACACGCCGTTCCTACACACCTACACACCTACGAATGCACACGTGTACATTCACAAACAGGCACGCCTCACGCACATGTACACGTACACAGTGAGAGGTGGTGTGGACTGATGCTTATACCCAGGCTCTTACTCCAGGCTGCCTGGGTTCTAATCCCAGTCCCACCGCTTACTACTGCGTGAACTTGTGCATGTTCCTTAATTCCTCTGCCTCAGTTTCCCCATCCGTGAGACGGCGATGGTGATATGATAGACCCCATCTCAAAGGGTTGTGGTGAGGATTCAGCGATGGACACAATGTAGTCATCTTTTCGTTATAATAATAGGCATGCTCGCACACATATGCAGCTCCCATATATACACAAGCATATACTAGTATATAGACACACGTGCTGTGCTATTAAGAAGAAATCTCGAAAGAGAACATTTGGGAGGGTCATGTTGCATTGGTCTCTCTTGCTTCTTCGACAGGCAATTCCTCTGGCAGATGTCCCTGGAGATGAAATCAGCAGGCAGCTACCATCTTCCTAGCAACAAAAGCCGGAGGTCTCATCCCTCACCTCCACACTCACCTTAATGATCTGCCCCCGGCCTGGCTGCAGCAGCGGGTCCGGCTGCAGCGCCCCGGCCCACACGCCGGTGCAGTTGATAATCACATCGGCGCCTCCTCTTGCCACCTGGCAGCAACCAACAGGGCAGGTAGGGTGGAAGGGGGTAAGGATCCTGGTACTCCTGCCCCCTCTTCTACCTTCCTTTCACCTTAAAGCTCTCAGCTCCCTGTGGCACAGCAGGGAGGAGGCTCAAGGAGGAATTCCTGGGCCTGGCTCCTAATGTCTGCTCTGCCCTTGACCTGCCGTGTGGCCTCAGAAATGTCCTGTCACCTCCTCTAGGCTCAGCTGCCTTAGCAATAAAATGGGGCTGGTAATGCACATTCACAAGTCACTGTGAGGATCCAGTGTGGCTCTGGGTGTGAAAGTGCTTAGAAAGGAGTACCGTGGAAAAGGGGGGACCTTTCTGGGAACCTTCCAGAAGTCAGAAAGCAAGTGGAGCTCGCTCTCTTCCTCTTTCTGACTCCCTTTCCTTTCATTCTCTTGCCTTCTCCTCTGCCGAGACATCTGCAGAAGGCACGGTGGAAGCCCTAGTGCTGGGCATGGGTGGGATACTCGGTAGGTCCAGGATGTAGCCTGATGGGCACCCAGACTCCCAGCCCCGCCCCCGTGAGGCCCCGCAGAGGTCAGTCCTGGGGCATGCACATCGCAGGGCACTGTTACTGTTCATGAGCTAGCATTTGCTACACTGGACTGTCATCTCTTTGGGAATGAGGGCTGCATCTGAGTCGGCTGTATTTCCCAAGGGCCCATCTGGGCTGGGCGCAGAGCGAGGCTTACTATAGAATGCTAGTAGCTGTGGGGACTGAGCGTCTTCCATGAGCCAAGCACTACCCTAGCTGCCGGGACTGAGTGGAGTCCTAGAACAAAGCTCCTGGAGCAAGGCCAGCGCCTGATGGTAGCTGCTCCTGTCATGATGACTGGTGGTGGTGTTACTCTGGCGGTGCGTCAGCTGGGGCCCGTGACTTTGCAGAAGCATCAACCCAGAGGTCGGTAGGAGGCAATCCAAGTGTCTGGAACTTGGGGGTGGGGAGCAGCTGATACTGGGCTTTCATATAGATCAGCCCTTCATGGCTGCCATGGTGCCCCTGTCCCTTCACTTCTGCCACCCATATCAAGGCAAAATGCCCGAGTCCTTCTGGGATTGACAAACGTTTGGAGTCTGGGATGGGCCTCAAAGGGATCCTGGAAGACTGAGGAGGGGGCCCTCAACTCAGCAACAGGAAACAAAGGTCCGCCCCCCTCTCCTCTCTCCCACGCCCAGCCCCTGCCAGCCCTGCAGCTCACCTCCTCGAAAGACTCCACCTTCTGCTGGAAGAACCTCACTCCCCGCTTGGTTAACCTGGGATGATCAGATACATGGAAAAGCTCATTACTCAACCCTCCCTCCTACCTCTCCACAAGGACAGCACGGGGACACGTCCCAAAGACCCTCTGTCCCATGGGGTGCTCCTTGCTGTACAGCCAAACCGGTTCATGACCACCTTGGTGCCCCAGGGGGCCATGAAATGTCCCTGGGGAAACCTGAGACGGTCCAAGCTCCTCATCGGGCAGATGGAGATGGGAGAAGGGCCTTGCTGAAGGTCATACTGTGAGTCAGTGACGGGGCTGGAGCTCACACTAAATGCAGGGGAGAGGGGGGACAGGGTTGGACCAATGCCACCCCTTTGTCAGAAGCAGAGCATGAGGAGGGAGGGGGGCTAGGGACATTCACCCCTCCCTCTAAGTGTCCCAGCTGAAAAATATTGTCACTATTAGAAATATAGTAGAAGCATCAAAAGAACAAAAAACAACAAAACTATATAAAGGCTGAAGCGTAACCTCAGGACCATTTTATCTACATGGTTTCCTCAAAGTAGAAAAACCTGGAGCATTTGTTCCTGGAAGAGCCGAGACGGGAATCGTTAAGCGTCCCAAGGTTAGAAGAAATAACCGGGTTTTAGCGCAATAGTTCGTAAACCTGGCTGATCATCAGAATCACCCGGGGAATTTCCTCTAAGATACAAATTTCTGAGCCCCACCCCAGAGGTTTCGATTCAGTAGCTATGAAGCAGGGTCCTGAAAGCCACGTTTTAAAAAACTTCTCAGGTCACTTGATAAAAGCCACCATCTCTATTCTATATTTTTAAAATTCATAATGAAATAGTAATAGGTAGGAAATATATGGAATCTTTCTTAATGTGAAGGCATGTGAATATAAATACAAATGTATCTCTCAAGGTAATGTTTGCTAATGTAGAACACTTCAAGATTCCTATCAACATCAAGAACAAGACAGGGACATCTACTATCCCCTGTATTATTTAACATTGTTCTGGAGGTACTGGCCATAGCAGTTAGACAAGAAAAAAAAAGAAAAAGATGAGGTATAAAAATAAAGGCAAGGCATGTTTTGTAGATGATGTAAATAGACCTGGAAAACTTAAGAGAATCCATTTAAAGCTACTACACAAATGTTATGGATTTTAGTAAGGTTGATAATAGACATCACGTGTAAAGAGTTGCCCACATGGTTCTGTTGCCCAGCCAGACATGGGAACCACTGCACAGTGGTTAACTCAAACCACATCTAAAGGTTAACGTTTGGGGTTGGTCGATACAAAGACGAATACCATGAACAACCATCTACTACAACCCTGGTCCCTGGGAGGGCTTTCCTGAAGCTCAAGTTGAACATCTCACCTTTCAGTCAGCCACAGCAGATACCTCCTCCCCTCCAGAGTCAGGCTTGTGTTGAACCAGCCATAGCTAGAGTCACAGCAGGCAAAGGTGGGAATAAAGGGTCAGAATCAGAAGGTTATCCAATGGAGATGGGAGCAGTGTTGGGTGGTTGTTGTGCTTTTTGGAGGGGCGGTGGGAGGGAGGTGGTGGTGGTGTGGGCCCAAGGCTCGAGACAGGACCACTGTTGGGAGGAGTTCAAGTGGAAGTGGTTTTTAGCTCAATGCAAGGAAATTTGTTCTGTCAGACAAAGCCATCCCTGACTTGGGGATGTGCAAGTGGAGACTGGATGTGCATTTGGAGAGGGGATTCAAGCATTGGGTGGGTGAGGAGAGGACCGGAAAGACACTGGGCTATAGGGAAAAGAACAGAGGAGTTTGGTGTCACACAGACTGGATTGGAATCCCATTTTGGTCACATGGCTGTGTGACCTTCGGAAGTCACCTAGCCTCTTTAAAGGGGTACAGAGCTTCTGGCCTTGAGATCTGTGGTTCCATAACCCCCACTTCCTTAGCCCAAGGCCCAGTTTGGGTGGGTTTCTTCTCTGAAGGAGCTGAACAGAGCACCAGGAGACCAAGGTAGGAGGGGCTCTAGGCGTAGGATGGGATAGAACTTTGGTGACTCCATCTTCTGCTGCCTTCTGGACGGGTCTGTCTGAATTGTCGGGCCTCATTCCCTTTGCCCATGATAGTAACCTTACCTATAATCGGGGAACATGTCCAGCTCCCTGGGTGTCAGCTTCCGAAATCCCAGAACTATGTCCTTCCAGAAAGGGTCCTGCAGAAGAAGGAGAGGAGGGGACACAGGGATGGGTGCAAGTCAAGAGTAACTATAACAAAAAATTTTATATAATGTTCCCTGTGTGTAAGGCTCTGTTCCGAGCATTTTACCTATACCACCCCATTTAATCTTCCCAACAACCCATTGAGGTAGATCCTATTATTATCCCCATTTAATAGATGGGCCCAAAAAAAAAAAAAAAAAAAAAAAAAAAAAAAAATAGATGGGCCCATTGAGGCTTAGAGAGTTTAAGTGACTTGTCTAAGATCACACAATTAATAAATGGTGGAGCTGGGATCTGAACCCACACAGTTTGTCTTCAGAGTCCAAATTCTTAACCATTATGCTATACTAAGGGTAAGAGTAAGACTTGGGGTGAGTGACAGGGTAAGGGTTGGGAATATGGGAGAGAAAAGGGGAGGCAGTGAAAGTCCCCAAGGAGTGAGAGTGGGGTCAGACAACATAAATGGAAATTTCAGTCTCACCCCTGAACACCTTGAATTCTCTGAGACTCAGTTTTCTGGTCTGTATCATGGAGTTAATAGTCACTCTCGGTCCCTTGGAAGGTAATGGATAACATGGCTAATGCTCTTAGCACAGGGTTAAATGTTGACTAAACCTTGACTTGGGGTTGTGGGCACCCAGCCGAATCACCCTCTCCAAGCAACCTGAGAACATCCCCCATGCGGTCACAGACTGTCTGGGTTCAAATCCCAGCTCTGCCACTTTAAAACTTTGTGAGCTCAAGTAAGGTACGCCATTTCATCTGCAAAAGGAAGATAATAATAACACTCAATTATTGTGAGAGCTAATTGAGTCACTATTTGTAAAGTAGTTAGGACAGGGCCTGGCACACAGTAGGGGCTTTAGAAGTGTGCACCATGTTGAGTGTCTTAGTCCATCTTGGTGAAAAGCCTGGGGACCACCTGCAGGGTCACAGGACGTATTTTGGCCTCAGCACCAAGTGCCCACCACTATAGAACGTGACTCTGGTCTGTGATCAAGGCTCTGCCCCACGGTCAAGGGCTCCTCACTCACCGGAACAGCTTCATGGAAGAGGTTGTAGCCTGAGATCGGGGCCAGGCCCATGTTTGCAGCATTGGGGGAATGGATGTGGCTCAGGAGGTAGTCGAAGGTCTGCCGGTTCCAATGCCTGGAAGGGTCCACCAGAGTCTCATCACGTCATGCCCTGAGCTGGATAAGACCGCTCTGAGGGTCAGCTTGCCCAGGGCTGTGGTCAGGCTGGTGGGGAGGTGTCCAAATCCAGAAATCCATCATGGTCCACTTCTGCAGCCCCCCATGTGCCTAGGGGTCTCCCTCTTCCCCAAGCTTTCCAATATGTCCCCATCAATAGAAAAGAGAAGATGGAAATAGAGCATGCTCCCTCACAACCATTCGGACCCTACCTCCAACTTAGGATCACGGAGTTGCCAAGTTTAAATGAAGACTGTGACCTGCTCCGGAGACTGTGAGCCACAGGTTCAAGCTCTCTCTAGGCTCCACCCCACTGTGAACACCAGCTGGCACTCCCAAATGCTTCCTCTTCTCCCTGGGCTCACAGCTCAACTACATTTCCCGACTCCTTTGCAGCTAGGCGTGACCATGTGACTGCCTTCTAGCCAAAAGACCCCAGAAACTGTGCACACGTAGTCCTCATGCTCTGCTCCTTGTGCAGGTGCTGGCCCACGTGAAGGGCAACGTTGGAAGCCACGGAGGAGAATGACAGAGCCACGAGCTGGAAAGGAGCCCGATCCCTGAGCTGTCACCCACTGATCAGGAACATCGGGTTGGAATTTGTGGGGAGAATAAAACGTCTGTTTGAGCTGATATTCATCTGAGGCTTCCTTTGTGGAATCAGCTGGGGGTTTCAAAACTAACATCATGACCTTTGCAACTTCTTCGCTAAACCTGAGCATTGATCGACTCACTTAGAGGTATTCCTGGTTTAGGGGAGGAATGGAGACAAAGCCTCCATCGGTCTGGCACATGTCCCCTCCATCACTGCCGAGACCAAGTGTAGCATCTGTCCAGCACCTAGAAGGGGCTTCATATTTATTATTTTCTTCACATCATGCCAGGCCATAGCCTCCACAACGGTCTTGTGATTGGTGACAGGGACCCTGAGAGGGGGCAGCCCCCTCCAGACACTCAGCTCCTCTGATCGCCCGGCCACCCTCTGGGACCCTCACTCACGCCTCCTGCTGGTTGACGGGGTCGGAGAGGTAAGGCTGCCACAGGCCAGCAGCCACGTCGGTGTTGGTGAGCGGGGTGAAGCGGTCTGCGTAGATCTTCAAGTCCAGCGACTGCAGGGCCGAGTGGTAGCGCTCATGGATGCAGAGGGCGGTGGACAGCCCAATGACGCCCGCTCCGATCACCACCACGCGCATTGTGCCAGCCTGCAGGACCATCTCCATCACCATCGCCATCACCACCATCACCACCGTCACCACCATCACCACCATCACCTCCCCCACCCCCCACCCCCCCGCACTGAAGGCTCAGAGCAGTGGTTCTCAACCTTCCGGCCCTTTAAATACAGTTCCTCATGTTGTGACCCAACCATAAAATTATTTTCGTTGCTACTTCATAACTGTCATGTTGCTACTGTGATGAATCGTCATGTAAATATCTGATATGCAGGATGGTCTTAGGCGACCCCTGTGAAAGGGTCGTTCGACCGCCAAAGGGGTCGCGACCCACAGGCTGAGAACCGCTGGCTTAGAGAGTGGCGGATACCGCCAGACCCTTTTAACACTCAGTCCTCGCCAGGACCCTGAGAAAGGGAGAAACAGACATGGAGAGGCAAAGCCCAAGGTCACACAGCAGGTGAGTGATACCACCTCCTATGGGAAGCCTCCCCGAACGCACTGTATCCATCTGGGAACATTAAAAGGGCCTAACCCTGGTGCGTGTGGCTTAGTGGTTGAGCATCAACCCATGAAACAGGAAGGCAAGATTTGATACCCAGTCTGGGCACATGCCCAGGTTGCGGGCTCGATCCCCAGTGTGGGGCGTGCAGGAGGCAGCCGATCAATGATTTTCATCATCGATGTTTCTATCCGTCTCTCCCTCTCCCTTCCTCTCTCTGAAATCAATAAAAACATATTTAGAAGGGCGTAGGCAGAGTTCCTAGCCAGCTCTAAGCTGGGGTGTCAAATGGTTAGAACTATGGGCTCTGGCTTCAAATCTCAAATCTCAGTTCTGCTGCCTACTGGCCATTGACCTTGGGCAAGACGCTGCCCAAGTCTCAATTTCTTCTTCTGGAAAACGGGGAAATGAACTCATGCCTCGGAGAGTCGATGGAAGATTTACCAAGATGGCACATGTAAAACGTTTAACCCAGTGTCTAGTACAAAAGAAGCGACTGACTGACATTCGCGGAGCACCTAGTGCGTGCCGGCCTCAGCGCTAAACGCTTCCCATGCTTCATTTCATGTAAGTCTCCCAATATTCTTATTAAAGTAGGGACTAGTGTTATTGGCTCCACTTTCCAGATGAGGAAACTGAGGCTCCGAGAGATGAAAGCCACTTCCCCGAGGTCACAGAGCCAGGAAGGGGTGCTGCTGGGATTTCATGTCAAGTAAACTCACACGCACTTTTTGCACACCTACTGTGTGCCATGCCGGGCTGGCAGCTAGTGGATGCAGCTGTAAGCAAATCAGCTGCATCAGCTGCAAAGGCTGGCCTCAGAACCCAGGTCCTCCAGCGCACCCCCTCACGGCCGGCCTTGGGGTGCTGGGCTGCCTGGGTCCTCAGAATTTTAGAAGGCCTAGCAGCTTTTGACCTTGAAGCTGGTTGGGCCTGCACAGCAGGGAAATATTCTACTGGCTCCTGCTGAGGCAGAACAAGGGGACGTTTGTGCCCGAAAGGGCCAAATTCAACTTTCCCTCCTCTTTACTCACAACTCTCCTCCCACAGACCTTGGCTCCCCGCCTGTGGCCCTGAACGGCAGGACATTCTCAGTACGGCCTAGTTTTGCAAAGGAGGAAACGGCTCCAGGCCACAAAAACCGTACTCTGTTAGGATTTCAGCAACCAAGTTGAAGATAAAAAACGCCAAAACAAAAGAATCGCATCGTTGCTCTGGGCGATGCTTCTTCCAGCTGCCAACCTGGGCTTGGTTGGGAGGGGAGGGGTGGGGGACAGTAGGCAGACCCTCTTAGGACCCCCAGCCTCCTCTTGCAATTTCCTCATCAATAAAATAGGAGGAACCTGGTCTCACGGGCTTGTCCTAAGGATTAAATGAGCAGCATGGCAACAGTTCCTGGTACAGTGCCTGGCACGAGCAGGCCCTCAATACATGGCAGCCTCCTTCTGTCCCCCAGCACTTTGGAAATGACAAAGGAAAGAACATTGGGTGTGGAGGAAGGGAGAGGAAGAAGGGAGAGTCAGACCTGGCTTCACTTCCGCCTTGCTGTGTGACGTTGGCTAAGTGACTTCCCCTCTCTGGGCCTTCTGACTGTCTTTGCATAACCGCCATAGAGTTGAGCACTTTTGTACATCAACAATAAGACAGGCAGGCATAGAGAGCTTTTCTGTATTGTCCAAATTCCCCACAATGAATCCCGGGGGCGGCACGGCATGGGGAAACGGCAGTCACAGCCCAGGCCGTGGGTCAGACACACCCAGGTTCACAGCTGGCTCTGGCGCGGACAAACGGTGTGACCCCGGACAAGTCACGTAACCTGACCGAGCAAGGGTGGCCGACCTCCCAAAGTCCCAGGACTGAGGGTGTCCCCAGGACGTGGGGGCCGAGTGCTAACACCAGGAGAGTCCTGTGACAAACCGGGATGTGTGGTTGCTCATCGTAACAGCCTCCGCTTCCTCTTCCATAAACTTTTGAGGGTTCACAGAGCTCCCTGCCGGTTGTCTCCCCACCAGAATATCAGCTCCAGGAGAGCAGGGACTTTTGTCCACTGCTCTGTCCCCATGGCCTCGAACAGTACCTGGCCCGTAGCAAGGATTCATGAATGAATGAATGAATAGATGAATGAATGGAGTTCTTAGAGGATCAAAAGAGAAAATACAGTGGGGCCTTGACTTACGAGTGTCCCGACTAACGAGTTTTTCGAGATACGAGAGCCGTCTCTCGGCCGATTTTTTGCTTTGAGTTGCGAGCTAAAATTAGGGTCACGAGCCAGCTTCAGATACCCCACCGCTAGTTGGCGCAGCGAACGTCGCAGTGAACGCCACAACATCAGCCCAGCATCACGTGTCTCACTCGTTCACTTTTTGATTTGACATACGAGTAATTTGAGTTACGAGCTCCGTCACGGAACGAATTAAATTCGTAAGTCAAGGCCCCACTGTATTTGTAAAGCGCTGGGCAGCTCATAAATTAAACCGGTGATCATTGTTGTCCCTGGTTCGCAGCTGAGGCAGCTGAGGCTGGGAGAGAACAAGGTTATTAGAAGTCACAGCAAGAGTTGGAGGAAGGCGGGCGGGGGGGGGGGGGGGGGGGGGGAGGCGGGCAGAGCCCAGTTCTGCTTTTTCTAGGGCCCAAGTTTTTCTCATTCTCATGTCACCTAGAAAACCAGTGAGTAATTGAGGGGGGGGGAAGGAGCTGCTTATATAATAGAATTGTGTGAGATGAGAGAAGAGAATGTCTGAAAACCCTTAAGAGGTTTCTGGGCTGGGGGAAAAGGCTTCGAACAGAAGCAGAGCGGGCACATGGCACTTCTCAGATAACAAGCAAAGCCTCCGGGCGGGTGGGGGGAGTCCCAGAGTAACTTCCGGTACCAGCTGGCCGGATAAAGGGACAAGTCACAGCGCGGGGCTCAGTTTCTGCAGTATGTAAAATTCTAAAGGTGAGCAAGACGTCCTCATGCAGATGGGGAAACTGAGGCTCAAAGAAGAGGAGGGACTCAGCTGAAGTCACACATTTGTGACAAAAGATTTGTGGGCCTTAGCCAGTGTGACTCGGTTGGAGCGTCATCCCATGTAGGGGTCACAGGTTTGATTCCCGGTCAGGACACACGCCCAGGTTGAAGGTTCAACCCCCAGTCGGGGCACATATGACAGGCAACTGATGGATGTTTTTCTCTCACATCGACGTTGCTCTCTCCCTCTCCCTCTCTCAAAAACCAATAAAAACATATGCTCAGGTGAGTATTAAAAAAAAAAAAAAGATTTGTAGGGTCTTGAGGTTAAAAAGACCCTTTGAAAGGCGGGATAGGTCATGTACAGAAAAGAACTACAATGTGGAGAGAAACAGCAATGACAGCTTCTGCTAGTTTTTCAACTCCTAGGATTATGCTGAGAACTTTACATGCATGATCTACTTTAACCTTCCACCAACCCTTGGGATGATCATTGTGCCCATTTTACAGAGGAGGCAACTGAGCCTCAGACAGCCCCTGGTAAGAAGCAGGACCAAGGCCAGCCTGACTCACAACTGAAAAATCTGAAGGTCAAAGAGGTGAAGAGATACCCCAATGTTTCAAAGTCCTACACTGGGGGGGGGACCCCACATAAAATATAACAATTGCAGGAATGTTCAGTGTGTTGGTGATAGGCACAGAAGTGAAGAGGGAATATGTATGTCCTAAATTAATGATCTTAATAAAGTAGGTGAATCAAATTGGACACTGATGACAGTAACTTTGTGTGTGTGTGTGTGTGTGTGTGTGTGTGTGGGTGTGTGTGTGGCTAAGTATAATGTCTATTTAAGGATGGAGCAGAAAGGGAACCATTTTGGTCATCTGCCACTTGCCAGACACATGTAGATGCAGTGTAGACATCCTCTCACTTAATCCTCTCACCTGCTCCAGAAGGTTCTACAGAAGTGAAACTGAGGTGCAGGGAGCGAAAGCCACGCTCCCACAGTCACCCAGCCAGTGTGGGCCAGTGTTCAGACCTGCGCTTTCTGCACCGTGCCGCCGGCAGTACATGGACACTGACCCTTTCTGCTTGTCCTGTGCTTCTTTGCTAATCGGCTCCCTTTTCCCTAGAAAGTGGCTGGAGGCAGCTCCTGCCTTGGATGGCCACATGTGCGCAGCCAAGACTAGGAAAGATTTTCCTGAAAAAAATCAGCAAGTCCTGGGGAAGGTATTTGAATGAACATTATTAGCGCCTCCAAGTTGCGCCCTGGGGCTACTTCTGATGACGTTGATGTTTTCAGAGTTTATATTTAAAATGGAACAGATTTTATAAATGCTTGACAGCCAGGCTACCAGCTCCCCGCCCCCCAAATAATAATGGCCATGTATTGAGGACTTGGTGCGTGGCCAGTTCTATGCTAAGCACCTTACATCAATCGCCTGTTTTAACCCTCAAATCAACCCTGTAAGAGGTGAGTTAGGATCCCATCTTCCAGACAGGAAAGAGGGGCTTAGAAAGGCGAAGGCGCTTACCCGAGGTCCCGGCCGGACTACAAGGCTGTCACCTGCTTCAGACTCTAAAGTGGAGCCTTCTCCGCTGACACTGGGAAAACACGAGTTCTACTCCCCGCCCCCCAAAATAAGAACACCCCCACTCACCGGGCGTGCCAAACTTCTGGAGAAATGAGGCAGCTGCTGTGGGTGCAGGGTCCTGTCTCCTAAGGGGAGGCTCCTGATTCTGGGGTGTCCTGTCCTCAGTCCTCTGCCCGCCAGCCGGGACTGGAGCTCAGGGTCAAAGTCCGGAGTTATAGACAGGGCGCAGCTTGGCGCGGTGCTGCTGGCAGGGGCTGGACCCACCACCCCCTCCCCTCACTCCCAAGTCCCTGAAAAGCTGCCTGACTTTTCTGGCTGATCCCAAGGCCCTGTGTCCAGGCCTCGGTGGAAGAGAGGGGGCAGGCGGGGGTTCTTGGAGGGCTGATGGGCACAAGCAGGCCTGTCTCCCAGGCCAGCTGGAGGCGATCCTCTTTCTTCTCTCTTTCTGCTGCCACCCTGGGGGAGGGAGTGCCGTTTCCTGGCCTGCAGGGGGTGGGAGGGGTGGTCATCTTGGCAGCACCGGAAGGGAGGCCAGGGGTACTGGACAGGGCTCCCCGGGCCAGCCGGCCAGCCCAGTGCCATTCTGGGACGCTAGGTGGATGAGGCCAAGAAGAGACCACGAGAATACATGGCTCTTTGCTCGGTATCCCAGGGACACTAGCAGCAGGGCTCCAGGTCCCTCTCTGCAGGGCTAGACCTGGAGCAGTGGTTATTAAAGCCCAAAGGTCATCGGGCACCTCGCTGTATGGATGGGGAGATTGAGGCCCAGAGAGAAGAACCAACCAGCCCTCGGGGAGGCATCATTTGGGTCAGTTTTGAAGGACCAGCCTCTACTTGGCCCCTACCTTCAGCATCATCAAATAAAAAGGTGAAGGTGAGCATCGGCCCTCGGACTGAAGGGTTCCGGCTTGGATTCCAGTCAAGGGCACACACCTTGGTTGCAGGTTCCCCGGCCCTGGTCGGAACGAGTGTGGGAGGCAACCAATTGATGTGTCTCTCTCACATCAATGTTTCTCTCTCTCTCTTCCTCTCTCTCTCTCCCTCTTCCCTCCCTTCCACTTTCTCTAAAAATCAATGGAAAAACAAAACAAAACAAGGCAGCCTGGATTTACAGCTCCCCTCACACAGGCCGTCTGTGCCCAGCCCTGGAGCACCAGGCCACCACAAGAGAGCTTAACTGAGCGGGAACAGTGAAAGGTATCAGGGACCACACAGGGACTTCCCACACCGCAGGGCTGGGTGTGGGCTGTGGTTTCAGAGAGTCCTGTGCTGTATGTGAAAAGCATATTCGGTATTGTTATTTAATTTTGGAAAATGAGGTGCGGGGACACCCATTGTTTTCATGATACAAAGCACAGAAAGTAAAGTTCCACAGTATATTCTTGGCTATTGGATTAAGACATCCCCAAGGAGGGGTGTGCAATTTTTAAAATCTTTTATCAGAAGAGGGCGTGAGAAAAAAAGAAAAGAAAAAGCAAAAGCTGCCCTAGCCGGTTTGGCTCAGTGGATAGAGCGTCGGTCTGCGGACTGAAGGGTCCCAGGTTCGATTCCGGTCAAGGGCATGTACCTTGGTTGCGGGCACATCCCCAGTAGGGGGTGTGCAAGAGGCAGCTGATTGATGTTTCTCTCTCATCAATGTTTCTAACTCTCTAAACTTCTCCCTTCCTCTCTGTAAAAAGATCAATAAAATATATTTTTAAAAAAAAGCAAAAGCTAAGAAACACTGAACGGTTGAATGTGCCCATTTTACAGCTGAGTAAACTGAGGCCCCAAAGAGAGGAAGGGATGTGCCTTAAGTCCCACAGGGTATATGGCTCACCCGGTGGGTTGATTGCAAGGTCCTTGAGAAACTATTCTGAAGTCCCAAGTTCACTGGTGATGCTAGCAGGCCCCAAAGAACCTTGGGAAGCATTTTTTGTTTGTTTGTTTGGCTGGAATGTTAGGGATCAAGGATTTCTCTGGCCTACTGGCTGATCGATAAACAACGTGGCCTCCAAGCAGCTCTGAAACAGCACACTCAGGCCAGGGCAAAAGATCCATTTACTAGGAGGCAGAACTCTGTGGGGGCCACGAGAAGTTATAGAATAACAAGTTAACCCCCACCCCCACACACACTCTCTCAGACAAAATTAGCTTTACTATATCTTTTCTGAGTATTAAGATCATCATAACCTCTATAATTTATTACAAAACAGGAGCTATAAAGCAGAAAGTACTAACCCCCTGTAACCAATCCCACCACCAGGAAAGAGGGGCCATTCACATTTGGGGCAAATATCCCCAAACATTACATAAACACACCCCTTCATGTGCCCCAAATGGGATCACGTTGTGGGTGCTGTTTCGACTCCCAGTTCACGTATCAGTATGGTCTGTCCTGAACATGTTTCCACTCGGCTGTTAACCAGTGGTCCATTCATACAGGACCACTGAATGTGGGTATCACAGTTTTTAAAGGCAGACCCTATGGCAATGGTTCTCAGCCTTCTGGCCCTTTAAATACAGTTCCTCATGTTGTGACCCAACCATAAAATTATTTTCGTTGCTACTTCATAACTGTCATGTTGCTACTGTGATGAATCGTCATGTAAATATCTGATATGCAGGATGGTCTTAGGCGACCCCTGTGGAAGGGTCGTTCGACCGCCAAAGGGGTCGCGACCCACAGGTTGAGAACCGCTTTTCTAGGCTGTTCCTTGGCTAATGACAGCAAAACTCCAATTTCCACACGGCGATTTCTCTGTCTCTATCTTTCTGTCCAAATTTCCCCTTTTCGTGAGGGCATAGTCATATTGGACTGGGGCCCACCCTGATGACCTCACCTTCACTTGATGACATCTGCACAGACCCTATTGCCAAATAAGGTCACATTCACAGGTCACGGGGGAGGGGGGGGGGGGGGTTAGGACTTGGGCAGTCAGGCCCATAACCCAGCCTTGAAATAAGTGCTGTCCTTCTTTCCCCCTCCACAAAAGCAGGAAGTAAGCCGCAGGCAAAGGAAGTGCCTGCCCTGACTCCTAACATCGAAGGCCAGTTTGGAGCTGGCAGATTCCAGGGTTTTTACATCAACCTGGTGGGGTTGTCGTGTGGTCCCTCTGCTCAAATGTCATCTTGCCCAGAGGTCCCCTGGCCACTTGCCTAAACAGCCCCCTCCTCACCCTCTCACCTTAGCCTGCTTTTTCTCCCACCCCCACCCTCCCACCCCTGCTTTTTTTGTTTGTTCATCCTCACCTGAGGATACTTTTTCCCATTGATTTTTTAGACAGAGTAGAAGCGTGGGGGAGAGACAGAGAGAAAGGAACGTTGATGTCAGAGACACTCATCGATGGGTTGCCTTCCTCACATGCCCCAGGGATCGAGCCTGCCCTTGACAGGAATCAAACCGGGGACCCTTCAGTCCGAGGGCCCACGTCTAAGCCAGTGGTTCTCAACCTTCCTAATGCCGCGACCCTTTAGTACAGTTCCTCATGTTGTGGTGACCCCCAACCATAAAATTATTTTCGTTGCTACTTCATAATTGTAATGTTGCTACTGTTATGAATCGTCATATAAATATCTGATATGCAGGATGTATTTAGGCGACCCCTGTGAAAGGGTCCTTCGACCCCCAAAGGGGTCGCGACCCACAGGCTGAGAACCGCTGCAGCACTGAGCAAACCATTTAGGGCTCTCAAGCCCTTTTTACTACTTGATATCATATTTCATTTATTTGAACCTGTGCCTGTCTTGTTCTAAGAACCTTACCAATATTAACTCATTTAATATAACGTATTTTGCAGATAGTATACTAATGGCTTACACGGTTTGACTCTATCCCCTCTTCCCTTCCCCCCCATAGGCTATACTGGAAGAATCTCTGTCTTTTGCTTGAATTCTAAAGGAAAAAAATGTGGGTTCAAACCCCAGCTTCATCACGCCCTAGCTAAGTGACCTTGGGTGTGTGACTTCACCACTCCATGCATCAATGTCTTCATCCGTGAAATGAGAATCCGAACTGTGTGACAAGAAATACATAAAGAGGCCCAACCCAGTAACAGACACGGAGACTGCAGGCGCACAGATAAGGGAAATCTGATCTTCCTGTAGGAGGCGACCCCAGAGCAAGGACGGAAGACATTTAGATGTTAATAAACCACTCCCTCAACCCCCTTGCAAATCACTTTGCATAACGGCCTAGCAGACAGCAAATAACTTGCTGTTCTTTTTGTAAAAAAATATTTTTTTATTGATTTCAGAGAGGAAGGGCAAGGGAGAGAGAGTTAGAAACATCAATGATGAGAGAGAATCATTGAGGCCTCCTGCACCCCGCAACCTGGGCATGTGCCCTGACCGGGAATTGAACCGTGACCTCCTGGTTCATAGATCAACGCTCAACCACTGAGCCGCGCCGGCCAGGCAACTTGCTGTTCTTAATAGATGCAAAACTGAGCTGAGACGATAAGAATGAAGTCAAAGATGATTAGATAAATGATGACGAAAAAAATTAAGATGGTACCAGATGGAAAGGGCTCCACTGGGTGCAGGGAAACTTCTAGCTGGTTCCCCTCCTGCAAACCTGGTTCTGTGAGGCCTAGAGACTGAGGCCAGGGGGCTTTGACTTCCTTGCCCTCCCACCCCAGCCCTTTTCACTAAAGGGAGAATGACCAAAATTATAAAGAAATATAGGGTCGAATCAAGGCAGGGATCAGTAAAAGCAGCTTGCTGTGCCATATTGGATCCTGAAGCAAAAGGAAAAATCAGCAATACAGGACAGATCCTGTCGTTAAAAAAAAAGTTGATATTTCATGCATTGTGGATTTTTAAAAACATAACTTTTTTTTTTAATGTTACACTAGAATATTCTTTCTCGCCCTGGCCAGGTAGTTCAGTTGGTTAGAGCATCGTCCTGACATGCCAAGGTTGTAGGTTTGATCCCCAATCAGGGCACATACAAGAGGCAACCAATGAATGCATAAAGAAGTAGAATAACAAATCTCTCTCTCTCTCTCTCTCTCTCTCTCTCTCTCTCTCTCTCTCTCTCTCTCAAATACCCATTTAAAATGTTTCCATAAATTTCCTCCAAAAAGCACTTCAGAGGGACTATAGTGCCTCCATTGAGAATCACCTTTGAGATAAATGGTGCAGGAGGTACTGACCCCTGGATCTGCGAGAGGCAGGAGGAGGGATCCTGGAGCTGCCTGGGTTTCTGGTTGGTTAGTGAGATGGATGGTGGAGCCAGTTTTGCTAAGATGGGGAGCAGGATTGGACCACTGCATTTGGGGGTGTTTGTGCAATGTGCACGTGGAGCCTGAAGCGAGGGAAGGGATTTGGGATGAAAGAAAAGCTTTCTATTACCGAGTCAAGCCAGTACCTTGACTGATCTTTTTTGGTATCTTACTCCATGTCCCTGACTCCATCCCCATACTGGCTACCTCTTCCCAGGATGACAACAGCAGCCCATGTGTTGGTCTCCCTTCACTCGCCTGCCCCACCATCCATTCTCCATGCAGCAGCCAGAGCTTTCTACAGTGCCCCCTAACTCTTGCCATTGGTCCTCAGGAAAGCCTTTCCTGACCTCCCTGCCCCCAAAGAGGTGACTGGTGAGGAGCACAGTGAAGAAATAAAATGGAGTCACTACAGTCAAGCTGCTAAATGACTGAAATCAAGTAGGTTAAAGTGTGAGGAAATGAGTCTGTATTTGTTTTAACTAGCCTGGGAACTTGAACTTATGAACTCTGCAGTCCCGTGTCAATGCCTGGATAGACATCAGACCTCCAGATCCCCCTGTGGTTACCCACCAAGGGACTCACGTATCCAGACCATCTGGTATCCATCGTCTGGACTGCCTCTCTTTTTTTTTTTTTAAATATATTTTATTGATTTTTTACAGAGAGGAAGGGAGAGAGATAGAGAGTTAGAAACATTGATGAGAGAGAAACATCGACCAGCTGCCTCCTGCACATCTCCTACTGGGGATGTGCCCGCAACCCAGGTACATGCCCTTGACCGGAATCGAACCTGGGACCTTTCAGTCCGCAGACCGACACTCTATCCACTGAGCCAAACCAGTTTCGGCTGGACTGCCTCTCATCTGACTGATAATGGTGCTGGACCAATCCTAGGGCTAAGAATGCAGGTTTGAGTCTTCTCAAGAACGTACTTCTTAGTATAAGAAGTTTTAACTTTCCTCTTTGGAATATTTCTGGGTTTTTGCCTAGCTATGTTTCCGGTTTGCAAACCCCAAGGCCCTTGAATAAATTTTTATCGCTTATTTCTAGCCAACGTTTCCTGATTCACTTATGCTCAGTTGACACTGGGTTTCTGGACACATAGAAGAATTCACATAAAAATATTAGCAAAATAATTTTGAAAATGTGCCTAGTACAGTAGCCACCCATTTATCTGTGGGGAATATGTCCCAAGACCCCCAGTGAATGTCTGAAACTGGATAGTACCAAATCTTATATATGCTATGTTTCTTCCTATATCCACACACCTATGATAAAGTTTAATTTATAAATTAGGCACAGTAAGAGATTAATAACAATAACTAATAATAACATAGAAGAATTATAGTAGTATCCTATATAATAAAAGGCTAATATGCAAATCTGCCAAACGGCAGAAAGACTGGTCGCTATGACATGTACTGACCATCTGGGGGCAGATGCTCAATGCAGGAGCTGCTGTGGGGTGCTCAGTGCATTCCCACAGGGGGAGTGCCTCTCAGCCAAAAGCCCTGAGCCCAGCTCATAGCTGGGGAGTGCACCTCCATGACAGGGCTAAGGATATCCGACTGCCAGCTTAAGCCGTCAATTGGACATCCCCTGAGGGCTCCCGGACTGGGAGAGGGCGCAGGCCGGGCTGAGGGGCCTCCCCCTCCAGTGCACAAATTTCATGCACCAAGCCTCTAGTACTGTAATAAAAGATGTGTGAATGTGGTCTCTCTCTCTCTCTCTCTCTCTCTCTCTCGCTCTCTCTCTCTCAAAATATCTTATTGTACTCATCCTTCTTGTAATGATGTGAGATGATAAAATGCCAAATCTATACCCAGATCTGTGTAACCATCTCTTACTTGCAGTGAATGGTTTGACGTTACTCATTTCAGGGGTCTCTTGCTGAAGTCTCACTAGGGGGTCAGTGCTTTCTGGCACAACACTTTCTCTGTTCATGTCCCACCCCCTCAAATTTAATGTCCCTCCATCTAACTAAGCACTTATCACACTCTGTGGCTATAATTTCTGCAGTTTGAGGTGCGACAACAAACCAGCACGAATTTCTTATTCCTTCTTCACAACCCCATGGACGGAAGAGTCGTTCTTACCCTACTAAGGTCTTAGCAACCTCAGCACACAATATTTTTTTCTTTCCTTCACCTTGTCCCTTAAAGGAAGTGCTTTACGGCTTCCCTTCGGAGCGTCCGAATTGTGATCATCGCTATCCTCGCACTTTGGGGCCATTATTAAGAAAAATAAGGGTCACTTAAACAGTAGCACTGTGATACCGAAGCAGTTGATCTGATAACCGGGTACTAAGTGACTAACAGGCAGGGAGCACACTGGACAAAGAGATGATTCATGTCCTGGCAGGACTGAGCGGGGTAGCTTGAGATTGCATCGCGATACTCACACGGGCACACAATTTACAGCTTATGAATTGTTCATTTCTGAAATTTTCCACTTAATATTATTTTCGGACTGCGGGTAGCTGAAGCCCGGGGAGAGCGAGGCTTCAGGTAAGGAAGGACCACTATAATGCGACTCGCTTTTGTAAAATCCCCGAGGGCGGCCCTGCTCTCTTTTGCTCACTGTTCAGTACTCCAGGCTCTACAGTAGGTGCTCAGTAAATATTTCATCAATGGATGCATGGACGATGAGTGAAAATGAATGAATGGATGAATGAATGAATGAATGAATGAATGAATGAATGAATGAATGAATGAGTGAGTGAGTGAGTGAGTGAGTGAATGAGTTTCTGCAAAGACGGCCTGTCGGGGTTCTGGGCAGGGACCAGGAGGCTTTACTTTTCTGCCTCCCCACCCTCTCCCGGGCAGTCTCGGCTGCGCGGCCACCCGGCCTCAGTTTCCCCGCTGGTGCAGAGGGCGCGCCTCTGCAGCCGGACTTGAGGTCCGGCGCGCGCAGCCGCGTCCCCCCAGCCGAGGGCCGGGCGCGCGGGCAAGAGCGCGTGTGCTGGGCGCGCGGGGAACGTGACTGGCGGGCCCGCTAGGGCCTCCCGGTCGCTGTGGCTCCCGCGCCGCGCACGCGCGCCACCCCACGCCCCGCCCCGGCCCGCCCGCCCCGCCCGCCCCGCTCCAGGTCCGGCGCGCGCCGGCGCGGGAGGCGGAAGGCGGGGGGCGGGGGCGGAAGGCGGGGAGCGGGGGCGGGGGCGGTGGACGCGGACCGGGAGGGGCGGGCCCGGCGCGGCTCGGCCCGGCCGCCGGTGCGCGGCTCCTGGAGCGCCCCGGGCCCGGCCCGGGCGGCGGCGGCGGCTCCAGCCCGAGGCCTCGGTGGCACCCGCGCGCCGCGCCGCAGCCATGGCCCTGGTGACCCTGCAGCGCTCGCCGACGCCCAGCGCCGCCTCCTCCGCCAGCAACAGCGAGGTGAGCCCGGGCCGGCCGAGCAGCCGCCGCGCCAGGCCTGGGCCGCGAGTGCGGGGCGGAGGGCGCCCGGCGGGCGGCGAGGGGGCTGCTGCGAGCGGGCGGGCCGGGGCCTGCGGGGCGGCGCTGCTCGACCCGCCTGGGCAGCCGGACTCGGGGGGCGGCGCGGAGGCTGGGTGAAGTTGTGGCCCCGTCTGAGGGTGACTGCGGGACCTGGGGGTGGCTGTGTGCGGGTGTGGCTCCCGTCTGGGGGTGACTGAATGTGCGGGTGTCACCCCGACTGGAACTGCCTGTGCAGTGAAGCTGTCTATCTGTGACCCCTGCCTGGGGGTGACTGTGCAGTGAAGCTGTCTGTCTGTGACCCCTGCCTGGGGCTGACTGTGCAGTGAAGCTGTGACCCCTGCCTGGGGGTGACGGTGCAGTGATGCTGTCTGTCTGTGACCCCTGCCTGGGGGTGACTGTGCAGTGAAGCTGTCTGTCTGTGACCCCTGCCTGGGGGTGACTGTGCAGTGAAGCTGTCTGTCTGTGACCCCTGCCTGGGGGTGACTGTGCAGTGAGGCTGTCTGTGACTCCTGCCCCTGCCTGGGGGTGACTGAATGTGCGGGTGTCACCCCGACTGGGGTTGACTGTGCAGTGAAGCTGTCTGTCTGTGACCCCTGCCTGGGGGTGACTGTGCAGACACTGTGTGACAGTGACCCCCGTCTGGGGGTGACCATGTGCAGGTGTCACCCCGACTGGGGTTGACTGTGCAGTGAAGCTGTCTGTCTGTGACCCCTGCCTGGGGGTGACTGTGCAGACACTGTGTGACAGTGACCCCCGTCTGGGGGTGACCATGTGCAGGTGTCACCCCAACTGGGGCTGCCTGTGCAGTGCAGCTGTCTGTCTGTGACCCCTGCCTGGGGGTGACTGTGCAGGAGTCTGGATGTGCGCCTGGGACACCTAATAGGGCGACTGTGTGAAAGGCCGGTTCTGAGATATGTGACCCTGTGGCTGGTCTCAGCCCTTTCCCTGAGCGCCTGGCCGTGTGTCTGTCTGTGAGGACGTGTGACTATCGCTGCCTGTGACTCGGTGGCCCGTGTTCTGGAAACTGCCTGTGTGATGCTGTGAGAGAGGCCACAGGGTGCCCTCTGACTGTGCGAGATTGTTCCCCGTTGGCACGCCCCTGGGGTTCTGGCTCCCGGTGTCAGTGGCTGTGCCCGTGTCCCCGTGGCAGTGACTGAGTGAGCTCTGGGTGCCGGGCGACCGTGTGTCTTACGCCTTTGTGCGCAGCCCAGTCGGGGTCTTTCCTTTTTGTCACATCACTGGGGGCTGCATGTTTACGTGCCTCTGGCCGTGCGGCAGAGGCTGATGCTGGGCTTTCCCCGGCTGCACAGATGCATTCTGGGGATGCATGGTTGCCCTGCACGGGTTTCTGTGAGACTGTGTGTGTGACCTGGCCTATGTGTGTGGCTGGTTCCTTGTTCTGGGGTGTCGATGGGGAAATTGGTCCTCTGAGTCTCCACAGTCGGGCTGGACGGTGCTAGGCTGGGTCTGGGCCCTCTGAGCAGGTCCCTGCTGCGGCCGCAGGGCTGACCCTCCTGTCTCTACTCCTGCTCACCTTCTCGTGGAGAACCAGTGAAGGCCTCTGGTCTAAACTCCTCTCCATGGCCAGGCTGAGTGTTGGCTTTCAGGCAGCAGCTGGAGGAGGGGACCAGGCTGTTTGGAGAAGGGAGAGAAGGCTGGAGGAGGGGCCCCACAGGCCCAGGAAGTGGCCCTTCCAGCATCTGCGAGTCAGGCCCCTTCTCTGCGGGGGGAAGTTGACTGATAGCACGGAAGGTTTTGTGTGTGTCCGCGAGAGACAGAGAGACGAGGACCTGTATTTGGCTTCAGCAACCCTGCCTGTCCCGGCTCCTGGCAGGGTAGCTCTTTCGCCTGCTTTGCTGAGAGTGGCAGGAACATTCTCAGAATGGCTGCACCCTCCTCGCGCGGAAAGGCCGCTGATGAACTCATCTTGACAACAGACAGAAGATTCTAACAGTCCCTCCTCCGCATGCTGAGAAAGAACCTAGAAGTCAGGTGGCAGTAGCTTCTGTCCTGCCCACGGAGGCATCTGCCCTCCCATCATGGCTGCCTTGCAGTTGACCAAGTGCCTATGCACTTAATCTCGTGTTTCCTTCTCAAAAACTATGTGAGAGGCGTGAAGGCTTCAGCTTGAGGAAGGGCCTCTCAGCCTGGGTCTCTGCTTCCAAACCCCATGTTCCCGGTGTTACTCACCCCCGATCTAGTCCTGACTTAAGACACATTTAGAAATGTTTATTTTTTTAATTTATTTTTAAAATATACTTTATGAATTTTTTTGCAGAGGGGAAGGGAGAGGGATAGAGAGTTAGAAACATCGATGAGAGCCGAAACCGGTTTGGCTCAGTGGATAGAGCGTCGGCCTGCCGACTGAGAGGTCCCAGGTTCGATTCCGGTCAAGGGCATGTACCTGGGTTGCGGGCATATCCCCAGTAGGAGGTGTGCAGGAGGCAGCTGATCGATGTTTCTCTCTCATCGATGTTTCTAACTCTCTATCTCTCTCCCTTCCTCTCTGTAAAAAATCAATAAAATGTATTTAAAAAAAAAAAAAAGAAACATCGATGAGAGAGAAACATCGATCAGCTGCCTCCTGCACACCCCCTACTGAGGATGTGCCTGCAACCAAGGTACATGCCCTTGACCGGAATCAAACCTGGGACCCTTCAGTCTGCAGGCCGACACTCTATCCACTGAGCCAAACCGGCCAGGGCAGAAATTTTTATTTTCTATGTAACTCACATACCATAAGTTCACCATTGACCGTGTATAATTCAGTGGTTTTTAGGATATTTCACAAGGTTGTGCAATCATCACCTCTGTCTAATTCCAGAACATTTTCATCACCCCAGAAAGCATCCCCCACCCCTTAGGCATCACCCAGAGCCTTCCTCCCCGACCCTTGACCCCCGCGCGGCTCTCACCAGCTCTAGACAACCACTAATGCACTTCCTGTCTCAATGGATTTGCCTATTCTGGCCTAATAGACTATGTGGTCTTTCTATGTTTGGTCTCTTTCACTTACCTCATGTTTTCAAGGCTCATCCACGTGGTCCCACGTGTCAGCACTTCATTCCTTTTTATTTCCGTGGTAGAGATGTACCCCATTTTATTGGACATTTGGGTTTTTTCCACTAGAGACATTTTACGTGATTCTATGAAGCATTATTTTCTCAAGGTGCCAGGGACCTGATAAACATAGAATCATCCTAGCTTTTATTGGACTTGAGTGAAGTCAGTCGGCAGCATGAGTCGCCCAAGCGAGCCAGCCGAGGCAGGGCTGTTTCCTGGAAGGCAAGGCTTCCAGGTGGGATGAGGCATGAAGAAGAAGCAAGACAGAACAGAGAGCCAGCAGGCCGGACACTCGGGACGGGCGGCTCTGCCTCCGGCCTGACCTCCCTGAGGTCACTTCCCCTCTCTGGACCTCGACTCATTCAAAAGGGCTGAGTTCCCTCTTGAGTTTGCTCTTTTGACATATGTGGTTTGTCAAACTGACCTTCCCTGGCCTTTTATCCCGAGAATCAGAGAGAGAGAGAGAGAATGAATGAATATGAATTCAATGGTCTTGAAGTATCTACCCCCAGGTCACTTCCTCATTCATCAAAATTCTTCTCGGAGTGAGAGATGCTTAGGGCAGCTGTTTCCTGACCCAGCCTGTCCTGCCCAGTGGCGTGGGAACTGAGGGAAATCACGGCCTGGCCAGCAAAGCCACACTCCTCGCACTTTTAATTGTTTTCTCTTCCCCCACCCCCATCTCTCGTCACCTCCCTTATGTCATTTTACGGTTAACCTTAGCTCATTCCTTTGTGAGAACAGGTAGAGAGCGCCAGAGCAGGAAAATCCATAACCTTCAGGAATGGATCATCACATTAGGCTTGACAGACATTCACGATGACTGATTTTCATGGGCACATCTCCAGTTTCGTTCTGGGGGGTTGGGTCAGGATTTCTGAGCATCGGCACTGCTGACATTGGGGCCTGAACATTCTTGGTTGTGAGGGGCTGTCTTGCAGATTATAGTCTGTTTAGTAGCACTCTGTCCTCTACCCACTAGATGCCAGTAGCACCCTCCAAAAAAAGGCTCCAGACATTGCCCGGGGTCCCCTTCGGAGAAACATCGCCCCTGGGTGAGCACCACTGCGTTAGACCCAACCTTCTCTTCGAAGTCTGTGGTGTTGGGGGGTGGGTGCGGGGGTGAGTGGTTTGTACTGTATATGCTTCACTTCGAGACCCAATCTCACAGCCCTGTGGCCAGCAAAGCCCTCCTGATTTGTCTACTTCAGGATGGAGCAGGGAATGTGAGAACGTGCCACCAGTGCATGCCTGTGCATGCTTATATACTTAATAAATAGAGTTAATAAAACGAAGGGGCTCCAGAACCCTCCGGCACGTGTCCCTTGCTGCCCAGCCCCCTCCCCTCATCAGCTCTGCACCCTTCTCCCATTCCTGTCAGGTTTCCGTCCTCGGTCAGCCGCCCATCTCTCCCAGCCATCACTGCTTTCCAGGTTTCTCTTTCCCATTCAATGGGCTCCTCTGTGTAACATACAAAACACGCCAAGTCCCAGTGGTGCCGATGTTTGGGGTGTGTGTGTGTGTGTGTGTGTGTGTGTATTCTCATTTCAGTTTTCTTCTTGAAAGGGAGCGGGGAGGAAAAATTACAGTTGGGGCTTAAGTCGTGGTTACTTTTGGAGCCTCCCCTCTTGGCCTTTTAACTCTTAGAAAATATTAAATGTCCATTTCTTTCATGTATGTAAATCAATCGCCTAGAAGGTTTTATACTCAACATTTAAGCCTTTTTGAGAATCACCAAGAGCCATCAGACCCACAGACAGACAGCCTGATCCTGGCTGTGAAAGACTTGGCTGGAGTGTGTTGGTTTTTTGCTTTTTTTTAAACCCGAATGTTGAGGCTTAGAATGGTGTCGATCACTCGGTTACAGCTTAGCTCCGTGGTTGGCAAACTGCGGCTCGCGAGCCACACGCGGCTCTTTGGCCCCTTGAGTGTGGCTCTTCCTAAGCCTTAGGAGTCCCCTAATTAAGTTAATAACAATGTGCCTACCTATATAGTTTAAGTTTAAAAATTTTGGCTCTCAAAAGAAATTTCAGTCGTTGTACTGTTGATATTTGGCTCTGTTGACTAATGAGTTTGCCGACCACTGTAGGGCCTAGCTTGAAGGAGGAAATGGTTTCTCTGAAAACACAGCCCCCTCCCTTAAAAAAGAAAAACAGGATAAGATCCAAACACCCCGCGCCCCCCCCCCCCCCGGCCCCCAGGAAAGTTGAGAAGGGAGGGCTGCAGAGTGCCTTGAGCAGCAATGCCAGATAGCAATGTTCAGTTACCAGATATTGATCCAAGATACTGTGGAAGGAATGTGGGTAAACATTGGGAAACTTCTGAGTTCCTTCGTGGGAATGACCCCGAGGTACAGCCAAGCAGGCTTGGCGAGGAAAGGGTGCGGCTGTTTAGAAATCGCCAGGTTTCCTGGACGTCCGTCTGTGTCTTCTTCAGACACCAGAGCAGAGCCTGTGGGACTCATGTCGCAGGCTGGTTGCTGGTGCCGTCTGTGATGTGACGTTCTCTCTCTCTTCTCCGTAGTTGGAGGCTGGCAGCGATGAAGATCGGAAGTTAAACCTCAGGTAAGCAGGCTTTTCATGTTCCTCCTTAAGTCTTCTTTCAAGCAGGTAAGAAATACTCCTGTGTTTGTTTTTTCCAAAAGGGAAGACCCTCAGAATAGGATACACCGATTTTTTTAGTAGCGTCTTCATTATAAACAGTTTTAATAACATTATATAACGTTTAGGAAAGAAGGAAAATAATTGCCATTATCCTACCACCCTTGCTTTACCATTATATACTTTCTTCCAGATTTTACCCTTTGCTTTAAAAAAAAAAATCCTGTAATATGCTCTCACATTTCTATCCTGCTTTTGGTAGGATCTTTCTTTTGAGGTAAGGATATTGCTGATTTGAACCAGACAGTCAACCCTCTACGTTTATTAATTCAAGGTGTGTGTGTGTGTGTGTGTGTGTGTGTGTGTGTGTATGTGTGTGTGCTTGTGAGAAATCTTTATGCTCATTACAAAAATTCCTGAAACTACCCATAGTCCTCAGTTGCTATATTCAATAGTAGACACCAAAAGCATTTTTGTTTTTCTTTGCCCCAAATTAAGGCTTTCCCTTTGGGCATTTTGTTGGTTTACAGAAGATTTAGCGCTTTGTTATATAATGTATTCCTCTGTGCCAGGGAGCCATTCTTAAACTCTGACTCTTACAGTTCAGAAGAGTAAACAGTTTCAGGGACATTGTCCTTTAAAAAAAAAAGTCAGTTTCATCTTGTGAGGAGGAGGAAAATTAATTGGAAAAGGAAATATGTGATCAGAAACTGGCACTCATTACCGAGAGCAGGATGTTCCCGGGTTAAAACCCGAGGACAGCGTGCAGAAGCCACGCTGGCGGGCTCAGCCCGTTGGCGAAGTTTCCGAATGTTTGAGTGAAGGGAGGGAAAATGCTTTTATTGTGGCGCACGTGATGTCTAAACCTCCCGTGCATGTGGGGAAGCAGTAGCCTGCAAAAATCAAAGAGATGTCATATTTCAGTCGCCGGGCCCTCATTTTCACGTGATGCTCGAGGAAGGAGCAGTGACCATGGCAAGTTTACTCTTTCACCTGGCGTTTTTGGTAGCTCCGGGTCTTGGCCAGGGCTGGCAGGCTGGAGTCAGCCAGGTTCCCAAGTGGGGGCAGTCACGGGCTGTGTTGCAGAGCACGCTGGCACGCGGCTCTCTGCTTGGAGGCAGGGAGGGGAGGAGTGGAGGTCTGCTCCTCAGAGACTGCGTAGGGGCAGCACTGGCAGAAGGGCTGTCACTGCGACCACCCCGTGCGGGGCCCTTAGAGCAGCTGCAGGCACCCTCCAGCCCTTACCTGGAGTCAGAATCTCTTTCACCCTTTAACACCCATTCCTTTCCTGCAGGGCTCTGGCCCAGGACATAGGTCTCTCACTTAGATGGTCTTTGGGGCAAAGAACTATTTTTGGCTTTCTTTCATTGCCCTTAATTGGCTTGACAGCATCGTGTTTTGAAATGTTTTCAGTTAAGAACTTACCAACAGGCCTGGCTGGTGTGACTCAGTGGTTGAGCGTCGACCTATGAACCAGGAGGTCACGGTTGGATTCTTGGTCAGGGCACATGCCTGGGTTGCAGGCTCCATCCCCAGTGTGGGGCTTGCAGGAGGCAGCCAATCAATGATTCTCTCTCATCACGGATATTTCTATCTCTCTCTCTCTCTCCCTCTCCCTTCCTCTCTGAAATCAATAAAAATATATATTTTTAAAAAGAACTTACAAACAGCTGTGATATGAAAAATATGTATTTGCCCTTCTGGCCATAGAAGGCCCGTTCTCTTCGCAGTTTGGAGCTGGAGAGGACCTCACAAGGAAAGGAAGCCCCACGGTATCTGTTGCCATCTTTAATCCCACCACAATCCTATGGGGGGAGTATTTTCCCAGTTCACAGAGGAGGAGCCTAAGGCCCAAGTTATATGTGGGACGTACTGTGTTTATCATCCTGCTCTGCCTCTTGGAACCACTTCAGTTCAGTTGGATCACTGTCTCCTGCAGGTGAGGGAACTGCCTGAGGTCACCCGGGTGGCTAGAGGCAGCACACGGCCGGACCGAGGGCCGCCACTGACTTGTGGTGGTGACTCCCAGGATGCCCGGTCCCTCTGAGGACCACTCTGAGGTCCCCTTCACCGCTCTCAGCAGGTCCCCGGTGCCATTGTGAGCCTGGGAGACCCTGGCTGGAGTTGGGGGCCAAATTCTGAGCTTGTCCTTTTAGGTTCCTTTTCCCGTCCCTCTTCCCTCCTCGTGTTCAGGCAGAGAGACACCAACCAGCTTTCTAACCGTCTAGCCAAACAAGAACAGTCCTGGTGTCCTGGTTTAAGCTTTGACTGAAACTCACCCGCATCCATGTAATAATTTGCATTTCCAGGCCTTTTCTCTCCAAGCCTGTCCTAGAGGAAGAAAAAAAAATGTATGGAATAGTCTGTTGGTTTTGCTTGTTTTGGGGGGAGGAAAGTTAGGGAGAGCAGATTTCGCTTTGCTTCAAATTGATCCCGAAGGGAAACTGGCATGATTTAGTTTCTAAAGGATGTTGGTAAGAGAGAAAAACTGGGGGCAACAGTTTATTTCTCTCTGTTCTCTCTTCTCTGTCTACCCTTAATTGATGGCTTCATCTATGACAGTGGTTCTCAACCTTCCTAATGCCGCGACCCTTTAATACAGTTCCTCATGTTGTGATGACCCCCAATGTCATTGTTACAAATTGAACATAATTAAAGCATAGTGATTAATCACAAAAACAATATGTAATTATATATGTCTTTCCCAATGGTCTTAGGCGACCCCTGTGAAAGGGTTGTTCGACCCCCAAAAGGGTCGCGACCCACAGGCTGAGAACCGCTGATCTATGGGGTCACCCCCTCTTGCACATGCTGTTTTCCAGTCCTTCTCACTGCTCCCCGACCACGCTCTTTCTCTTAAGCCGGTTCTTTTTCACTTGGCCACATCCTCCCAGCCAGGTCCAAGGGCTCCCACCCCACTGGTTTGCCACGCCCCTCTCTGCAGAGGAAACAGGTAGCTCTGGGCTTCTCCATCGGTTCCAGGTGCCACGCCGGCCTAGCGTGGCAGGTGCTTGTGCTTTCGTGTCGTCCCTAACTCCCGGTGCTTCCCTTGGTGGCAGGGCCTTGTTCCCCGCCTGCATGTAACATTTCCACAGTTTAAATATACCAACGTAGCTTTGAGCCTGCAGTAAATCACGTACACCTATGAGAACGAGCAAGGTCCCGTAGAGGAAAAATGTGGGGTTCGGGGCCAGGCAGATGCAGGCTGGGGATCTGGCTCCTGCTCTAGCAGCCCAGTTCCTTTACCGCTGTGCGTTCCTGCACCTCCGTGGGTCTCAGTTGTCCATCTAAGACAGAGATAAACCACGGCCTTTCAGGGTCATCGGTAGATTGCATGGGCTCCTCTCACAGAGTCGGGCCCACGACGGGCTTGGAGAGCCGTTGCTGGGTTTGGTCTTCCTACGATGCTGCTCAGATCAGTTAGTTCACAGCGTTGAACTAGAGGGGCCGACTCCCTGCGGGAGTTGTGTCTCTTGTGTCACGCGGGGCCGGCCCCGAGGGGGCCACCACTGCATGCTCTGCACCCCTTACCGGGCTGCATCCCCCTGCGATGCAGATAGCAGCGCGCGCTTGCGGAGTCAGTGTTACGATTCCGACAGTTTCTCTTAAAGGCCTTCTGGAAAACGTCTCAGGAACCGATCATCTCATGCCCAGAGCGAAGCTGACGACGCAGAGCAGTGCAGACCCGGCTCCCCCGCTCCGCTCCCCGGCCCGGCCCTGCGTGTGCAGACTGCTGCCGGCCTCCGGCAATCCCCTTTTGGAAGCCGTGCTGTTCAGACTGTGGGAATCGGTGAGCAGATGGCCCTGCTGGCAGCGGCTCCTGGCTCCCTCGCCATCCTGGGAGCTGCCTCCGCCTGGCAGGCGATGTGAGTGGTTGTGTGCCAGGCGGGGCCCCAGGAGAGAATGTGGTTGTGAGGATCAGGAGTGACTGTTGTTGTTGTTGCTTTTCAGCATTTCCAAATCAAGCGCGTGAAAATGTTCATGAGAGCTCTTTTAATTTGCTTCTTGCCTGGCCAAGCAAATGTTTGGGCCAGAGCAGCAGGATTTTGTCTTCTCTATTTTATCTGGTGTCAGTGGTAAACCGTAAAGCCCCTTACAGCCCTGCCTTTTCCTCCACGGCTCCTTCCCCTTTTGGTCTTGACCTGGAATTCCCCGGAGGACCCCATTCTCCTCAGAACCTTTAAGTGTGGCTGTGCCTTCTCTTCCTCCCCCATCGCGTCAGGGTGGTCTCCACAGACCACGCTCCCTCATCTCCATTTAGCACCTCTTCTCTTACGCCTGCCCACCCTTTGGGGTGCCTCCTGCCTTTCTTGGCGATTTCTCAGTCTGGACTTGATCATTCCTGATCTGAGGATAAGCTGCCTGATCTGATGATCAGCTAAGTTCTGCCGAGAGGTGCCCGGCGTCCGCTGCATCCAGGCTCTCTGCAGCGGGTTGCTGTCAGTGAGCTGTTGCTGTGTGACAAGTGACCGCACACTCTGGGTCCAAAACAACGTCCGGCTGTTATCTCCCAGTTTCCATGGGTCAGGAATCCGGACACGGTTCAGCTGGGTCCTCTGCTTGGGGTCTCACGTGGCCGCAGTCAGATGTTGGCCGGTCCAGGGTCTCATCCAAGGCTCAGGACCTTCTCCACAGTCAAAGTCACACCGGTTCGTGGCAGAGTCCGTTTCCTTTCGGCTGTAGAAGCCGTGGCAGCTCGCTGCTTCCAGGCCGACAGGAAGAACTGCGGCCACAGGGTCCTGGGACTGAACGCCATCTCAGGAGGGACCATCCCTCACCTTTCCCGGACAGGGTCACCTACCTAAGGGAGCGGCTCTCCCGCCTTGTCCCCTGGCCCCACAACCGTCGGGATAGGGACTCACTTGGGGTGCCTGCACCAGTGGCCGGGGAGGTCTCGAGATGCCCCCATGCAATGTAGAGAAAGCAGTCATGCGGCTGAGCAGGCGTCCGTTCGGTGTGACAGA